TGGGCGTAGAATTTCTCTTACTACTTCCTGCTGGAGGGGGGCGCTGTATCTTATGGGGATACAAAGAAAATTTTAGAATTATGGAATAGTCCATGAGGCTGTATTGTCTGAGCCAGTTGCCTTCAAACCGTTCTGGATGTTGGATCATCTGGGCCATGGTGTCATCGGAGACCTTTCAGGGGGTCTTGGCTGGTCAAACCTGATGTATCTTAATCTGGAACAAATCCATAGCCTCTGGCTTTCTGTGGGAACAAAAGCAGAGTCTCCTTTCCAAAGCAACATATCCTTATATTCAAATTTTGAAGTCAAGGTATCTTTAAAATATACATTTTGGCACAACTCAACAGCTTTTACAATCAAATGTTTTTCTGCAGTTAAAAGTCCCAAAGACAACACAATGCAGATTCTCTGTGTAATATCCATTTTTACGTGGCTTATTTTTTATACTACCTTTACTGTCTCTTTAAAGACTTTATTTTTTAAAACTATGTATTTGTTTCTATAACTCTATATATCTTTTTTGTCTCTTTCAAGCCTACGCATCTTTTACACACATTGTAAACTATTACATCTGAATCTGTCTTATTGTGAATCTATTGCCTTAAACTGCAGCAGCTGTGGCTGCTGGCTCCGCCCACCTCAGCTTCCCAACATGGCTGTGGTTTACCGCCAGCTCTGGGAGCTATCGTGGGTCTATGCTTTTATCCAAGCAGCAAGTAGCCCAGAAACCCTTTTTTGTTTTGTACTAGCAAAGGCTAAATCCACCATGTAGCTTAATGTGCCACTTGCAGAGGCCTCATTCCCGCCATACTGCAGGTTGAGCACGTATGCAAGGAACCCACCAGTAGCTCAAACCGGCAGCTGCCGCTCATTTGAGAGAGACAATTAGGAAACTGTTTTTAGCTCCATTTTAGCATCTTTTTTTTCTCAGTTTTTAGGTGGAAACTCTTGCCCCACGTTGGGCGCCATTTGTAGCTAGAGCACACCTTTAATCCCAGCACTCGGGAGGCAGAGCCAGGCGGATCTCTGTGAGTTCGAGGCCAGCCTGGTCTACGGCACGAGATTCAGGAAAGGCGCAAAGCTACACAGAGAAACCCTGTCTCGAAAAACCAAAAAAAAAAAAAAAAAAAAAAAAGAGCTGAAAAGGTAGGAAATATATAATAAAATATGAGACTGAATATAAAATTAATGGGCCGTATTAATAGGCATAAGGAAGTTCAAGTGAAATGAAGCAATAATTCAAAGTATTTTAGAAATTATAAATATATGATTGTACATTTATGAGAACCATATGCCACAACATGATAAGTGACACATACAAGACACCTTTGTCACATCATAGCAATGGTCAAAAATTGTATAATCTGCCAATTTTCTTGAAATATTTATAGTTTTAGTTTTAACACAGAAAAGGAAAAAGGGCTTGACATATTCAACTTCCTGGTGACAGGTCAAAGCATTGTCTATCAGAGAGTGTAATAAATAGTCCAAGTTCCAATTACCAATTCTCTAAGTTTAGACACCAAGTAATAGTAAATATAATTTCAGAGAATATAATGGTGAAATGAAGAAATCCAGCAATTAGAAGGTAAAAGTACAAGCTTCCCTTACAGAGCCTGACTTTAAATTGTAAAAATGCAATGTTAATTTGAGTATAACTTTCCTAAAGCATAAATGTGTGATGTAGAGACAAGATTCTTGTGATAAGTCTTAAGACAGTAATTTCATTGGTTTATTGATGTTAGTGTGCGAAGCAATGCATTTGATAAATGTCAAGCATACTTTCTATAGGGATAAAACAGATATCTGGTACAAACAATAGTTGCTAAATCTTTTTTTATAATTTTATTTTATAATTTAATTTAATTTTACATATCAGCCACCGATTTCCTTGTTTTCCCCCTTCCCGTACCCCCACCCCAGCTTCTCTCCAGCCCACCCCCCATTCCCATCTCCTCCAGGGCAAAGACTCCCTTGAGGATTGAGTTCAACTTGGTAGATTCAGTCCAGGCAGGTCCAGTCCCCTCCTCCCAGGCTGAGCCAAGTGTCCCTGTATAAGCCCCAGATTCCAAACAGCCAGCTCATGCACTGAGGATAGGTCCTGGTCCCACTGCCTGGATGCCTCCCAAACAGATCAAGCTAATCAACTGTCTCACTTATCCAGAGGGCCTGATCCAGTTGGGGGCTCCTCAGCTGTTGGTTCATAGTTCATGTGTTTCCATTCATTTGGCTATTTGTCCCTGTGCTTTTTCCAACCTTGGTCTCAACAATTCTCACTCATACAAACCCTCCTCTGTCACCATGCACAAAACTTAAGTCCAAGTGGATCAAAGACCTCAACATAAATCCAGCTACTCTGAACCTGATAGAAGAGAAAGTAGGAAGTAGTCTTGAATGCATTGACGTAGGAGATCACTTCCTAAATATAACACCAGTAGCACAGACACTGAGAGAAACAATCAATCAATGGGACCTCTTGAAACTGAGAAGCTTTTGTAGAGCAAAGGATATGGTCAACAAGGCAAAGCGGCAGCCTACAAAATGGGAAAAGGTCTTCACCAACCCCACATCTGACAGAGGACTGATATCCAGAATATATAAAGAACTCAAGAAATTAGACGTCAAAATGCCCAACAGTCCAATTAAGAAATGGGATATAGAACTAAACAGAGAATTCTCATCAGAGGAAACTCAAATGGCTGAAAGACATGTAAGGAATTGCTCAACAGGGAAATGCAAATCAAAACGACTCTGAGATACCACCTTACACCTGTCAGAATGTCTAAGATCAAAAACACTGAAGACAGCTTATGCTGGAGAGGATTTGGAGGGGAGAGGGGAACTCTCCTCCACTGCTGGTGGGAATGCAAGCTTGTACAACCACTTTGGAAATCAATATGGTGCTTTCTTAGTTGCTAAATCTAATTGGAGAAATAGTATAATAAATTCATATTTAACACACACTATTTATATAGCTGTTAGCAGGTCAATTAATGCTTTCTTCTATTTACTTCTATTTGAGTTATTTTTTAGGTGAAATATATCTAGTTCTTTGGCAGTCTAGATGGGTCTATGAGTCAATATAGAAGTAGAAATTCTCCAAATAAGTGTCTATTGGAAGTGCTTTCAATATGAGAGCAAAAAATGTGTGTTCTTAATGAATAAAATTAAATGGTTTCTTTTATGACAGGTCTTTTTAGTGAGTGAAATTTATTTTTTTGTAGTAAACAGAAATATATGCCGTTAGACAGATGTAGAGTCAGGCAAATTTAGCTGTCTAGGCAATTTGAAATTTGAACTATTGTTCTTTCAAGTTGACCCTGTGATGATTAGCATTGACTGTCTACTTGATAGGACCTAGAATAATTCTGGGCAGACCTGAGAGGCATGATCTAGGTTAAATTAATTGAGTCATGAACTGCAGAAAATGAGAAAGCAGGCAGATCATAAATGTTTCTCTAGTGAGAGATACAAAGTGACCAACTGCTTGTAGATGATTGAGCTTATGACTGTGTGCTAAAATAAGATCTTCTCTCCTTAGGGTTTTTGTTTGAGTGTTTTGTTTAAACAATAAAATTAGTACATTGTTAAAATGAGATTAATTTATGCAATTCTTGTTTGTTTATATGTTTGATTGATTTTACACAGATTCAGTGAGGACAAAGCTGTTGCAGAATATTTGTTTACATTGTGTGAAGATATCTTGCTGTGATTGGCTTAATAAAGACCTGAATGGCCAATAGCTAGGCAGGAGAGAACTAGGTAGGACTCCTTTGGAAAGAGAGAAAATCAGGGAGAATCTAGGCATGAGGGAGATGCTAGTGAGATATGGAGGGAGTTGGACATACAGAGTGGAGGAGAGGAAAAAAGTCATGTGGCAGATTGTAGATGAATAGAAACAGGTTAATTTAAGATATAAGAGCTAATTGGGAACAACCCAAGCTAAAGGCTAATCTTTCATAGCTGATAAGTCTTCATGGCATTATTTGGGGGTTGGGACTCTTACAAAAAAGTCCAACAATGCAAAGTTATGCTCAAATTCAACTACAGTTGAGGATGACCTTGAACTTCTTACCTTTCTGCTTCTAACTACTGAGTATATGATTAAAGGCACATGCCACTATACCCAACATTCATTTTTGTATTTAAAATTTAAAAAGTTGTTCTTATATTAATTTGTTTTAATTTTCTTTTTTTTTGTATTTTTTAAAATTTATTTTTCTATTATCAGCTTGATACAGTAAAAATTCTTATCCTAATAGTGAAATGTTTCATTGAAGCTTGCCCAGTGATTGAGTAAAACCAAAACTTATTATAAGCCACAGTCATCCTAGGGTCCCCCTGCCATATAGCCTCCCTGGTTCTGTGGGTTGCAGTCTGATTGTTCTTTGCTTTATGTCTAGAATCCACTTATGAGTGAGTGCATACCATGTTTGTCCTTCTGGGTTTGGGTTACCTCACTCAGGATGATATTTTCTAGTTCCATCCATTTGCCTGAAATTTCATGCTGTCATTGTTTTCTCTGCTGAGTAGTACTCCATTGTGTACATGTACCACATTTTTAAAATCCATTCTTCAGTTGACAGGCATCTAGACTGTTTCCAGGTTCTGGCTATTACAAATAGTGCTGCTATGAACATAGTTGAGCATGTATATTTGTGGTATGATTGAGCTTTCCTTGGGTATATGACCAAGAGTGGTATGGCTGGGTCTTGAGGTAGATCAATTCCCAATTTTCTGAGAAATGGCCATACTGATTTCCACAGTGGTTGTACAAGTTTGCATTCCCACCAACAGTGGAGGAATGTTCCCTTTGCTCTGCATCCTCTCCAACATTGACTGTCATTAGTGTTTTTGATCATAGCCATTCTGACAGGTGTAAAGTGGTATCTCAGAGTCGTTTTGATTTGCATTTCTATGATGATTAAGGATGTTGAGCATTTCTTTAAAAATCTTTCAGCCTGGTGGGCTCAGTTTGCATTCCCTAAACGGAATCCTGCATGCTTTTCTCTCAGTTTCCAGAATATGACGACCTCTACTGCAAGTACTGCTTCGTGTACGGCCAGGACTGGGCCCCCACAGCGGGTCTGGAGGAGGGCATCTCACAGATAGCATCCAAGAGCCAAGATGTACGACAAGCACTGGTGTGGAACTTCCCCATCGATGTCACCTTTAAAAGTACCAACCCCTATGGCTGGCCACAGATCGTGCTCAGTGTGTATGGACCAGACGTGTTTGGGAACGATGTGGTCCGAGGCTACGGAGCGGTGCATGTACCCTTCTCTCCTGGACGGCACACGAGGACCATCCCCATGTTTGTGCCGGAGTCCACATCTACGCTGCAGAAGTTCACAAGCTGGTTCATGGGACGGCGGCCTGAGTACACAGACCCCAAGGTGCTGGCCCAGGGTGAAGGCCGGGAAGTGACCCGTGTCCTCTCTCAGGGCTTTGTCACCCTCCTCTTCAATGTGGTGACCAAGGACATGAAGAAGCTGGGCTATGACACTGGGCCTGTGGACACACAAGGAGTCCTGGGTCCCAGCCTGTCACAGAATAACCTACAATGAAAGCATCAGCCTTTCCGCCACTACTATGGCCCAGGTGCCTCACAGCCCACACACAATCAAGGACTCAAGCAGCCCGGCTGGGAAGTGGAGAGCTGAAGACAGTTTTCTATAATAAAGCATCACATTTTTTCAGAAAAAAAAAAATCTTTCAGCCATTTGTGATTCTTCTTTTGAGACTTCTCTGTTTAGCTCTGTAGGCCATTTTTTAATGGGATTGTTCAGTATTTTGATGTCTAGTTTCTTGAATTCTTTATATACTTTGGAGATCAGTCCTCTGTCAGATGTGGGGTTGGTGAAGGTCTTTTCCCATTCTGTAAGCTGTCTTTTTGCCTTATTGACCATGTCTTTTGCCCTACAAAAGCTTCTCAGTTTTAAGAGGTCCCATTTAATAATTGTTGTGCTGGTGTTATATTTAGGAAATTATTTCCTGTGTTAATGTGTTCAAGAGTACTTCCTCCTTTCTAGTCTATTAAGTTTAGTGTAATTGGATTTATGTTGAGGTCTTTGATCCACTTGGACTTGAGTTTTGTGCATGGTGACAGATATGGATCTATTTGTAATCTTTTACATCTTGACATCCAGTTATGCCAGCACCATTTGTTGAAGATACTTTCTTTTTTCCATTGTATAGTTTTGACTTCTTTGTCAAAAATCAGGTGTTCATATGTGCATGGATTAATGTCAGGCTCTTCAATTCTATTCCATTGGTCTGTATGTCGGTTTTTATACCAGTACCAAGCTGTTTTATTATTATAGTTCCCTGGTAGAATTTTTGGGGTCACTTATGTATACTACCATATCATCTGCAAATAGTGAAAGTTTGACTTCTTCCTTTTCAATTTGTATCCCTTTGATCTCCTTTTGTTGTCTTATTGCCCTATCTAGAACTTCAAGTACTATATTTAATAAATATGGGGAGAGTGGACAGCCTTGTCTTGTTCCTGATTTTAGTGGAATCACTTTGAGTTTCTCTCCATTTAATTTGATGGTGGCTGTTGGCTTGCTGTAAATTGCCTTTATTATATTTAGGAATGTTCCTTGTATTCCTGATCTCTCTAAGGCCTTTATCATGAAGGGGTGTTGGATTTTGTCAAAGACTTTTTCAGCATCTACTGTGATGATCATGTGGTTTTTTTCTTTCAGTTTATTTATATGGTGTATTACATTGACAGATTTTCATATGTTGAACCATCCTTGCATCCCTGGGATGAAACCTACTTGGTCATGGTGGATAATTTTTTTGATGTGTTCTTGGGTTCAGTTTGCCAATATTTTGTTGAGTATTTTTACATCAATGTTCATAAGAGAGATTGGTCTGTAATTGTCTTACTTTGTTGCATCTCTGTGTGGTTTGGGTATCAGGGTAATTGCAGTCTCATAAAAAGAGTTTGGTAATGTTCCTTCTGTTTCTATTGTATGGAACAATTCCAAGAGTATTAGAATTTGTTCTCTGAAAGACTTGTAGAATTCTGCACTGAAACCATTTGGTTCTGGGTTTTTTTGTTGGGAATCTTTTGATGACTGTTTCTATTTCTTTAGGGGTTATTGGTCTATTTAAATAGTTTATCTGGTCCTGTTTTAACTTTGGTATGTGGTATCTATCCAGAAAATTGTCCATTTCTTCCAGAGTTTCCAGTTTTATGGAGTAAAGGTTTTTGAAGTATGACCTGATGATTCTCTGGATTTCCTCATTGTCTGTTGTTATGCCTCCCTTTTCATTTCTGATTTTGTTAATTTGGGTGCTCTCTCTTTGCCTTCTTGTTAATTTGGCTAGGGATTTGTTTATCTTGTTGAATTTTTCAAACAACCAATTCTTTGTTTCATTGATTTTTTTGTACTGTTCTCTTGGTTTCTATTTCATTGATTTCAGCCCTCAATTTGATTATTTCTTGGTGTCTATTCATTTTGAGTGAGTTTGCTTCTTCTTGTTCTATAGCTTTCAGGTGTGTTGTTAAGTCAGCGTGAGATTTCTCCAAATGCTTTCCTCTTTAATTGTTAACAATCCACAGTGAAAACCTATAGTGTGTTTTCCAATCAGGCATTCTGGCTTTTTTCTTTTACTTAAATTTGCAAATTGATTTATAAGTTTATAAGTTGGATCCTTTGATAGGTAATGTCTTGCTCTCAAAGGACCTTTCATCCTGTCTAAGTGCTGAGTACCAAGTTTTCCTTTATAGGGACAGGCCCCATTATCAATTGCTTTTGCTTTATTTATTTTACTCTCCTTGTAAGAAATCTAAGCTTGATCTCATGTATTTCCATAAAAAATATTTTATGATTTTTAAATTAAACTTTATTCAAGTTCTCAAGACAAAGGCACATGAGTGGACTCCAGTCCACTTCCAATAAAGTTATTATTCCCTCAGATATCTCATGGACTAGGTCGCTGCTGAACACATTTTCCCCAGCATTCTTTCCTTCTGAGATCCCATCACAGTGGCCAGTTAAGCTCTGTTTCCCAAAGTCAACTGTTTTTCTAGCTCAACATTTTAAAGTCATCCATATTCTAGGAACAAAAGTCTTCCAAAGACCTAAAAACAGATAGATTCATAGCAATAATGAAATCCACTTTTGGTACTATTTATATGTTATTTTCCATTCTTATTGCTGTGACAAAATACCTTACCAAAAGCAATGTAAGACAGAAAATGTTTATTTTTCACTCACCACTCAAGGGTACAGTCCATTAATGGGAGATGATGTCAAAGGAGTGAGAGTTTGAGAGAACTGTTCACATTGTATCCTGAAGGAATACAAATGCATGCTTCTCAGTGCTCAGCTTGCTTTCTACGTTCTAGGATCCTTTGCACAGTTATTGGTACTATCCACAGTGGGAACTTAATGGGGAGGTCTTCTAACTTCAGTTAACATAATCAAGATAAAGCTACACAGCCATGAACCGAGTCTCTCTCCTAGGTAATTCTAGATTAAATACAAATGATAATTGAAATTAATTCTCATAGCTACCAACAACCTCATTTTATTCTCTTTCACAAAAGTGTCTCATCACCTGTTAATGTATCCACTCTGGAAACATAGCTTCTAACAGCTGAGCCTGTAGGAGAAAAAGCACATTTGGCAATACTCTTATATAACTTTTTAAACCTCAAAGTCATTCATTACTTGTAGTTCCACATTGAACAATCATTCACATAATCTCAGTAGGACATTGTAAATCTCAACTCGGCTGAATGGAATTGTGCTTCCCAGAGACTCTCTTTTTGTACATTATAGACATTAAAGTAGAGATGATAACACTATTTTTTCCTCTTTTTTTCCATAGGATGATTTTCCTGATGTAAAGGTTCTTCTCCTTTGTTGTAGAATATCTAGAATTGTAGCAAACTTCTACCACATTGTATAATATGATGTGTGTCCTGAACTTGCCATATTGATATTTTGTTTTGGCTTCTACTCTCTATATTTATATCAGAGCTGAGTAAAAAATGTTCTTAATATTGCTTCTGCTTATTTCTGCTTATTAATTAGAAAATACAACTACATTCTCCACTGACACAAAGTTTTAGGGAACACAAACTAAATCGAGACTCATCATAGAAAACAAATATATTTCAGACATGTACTGTGGAAGGTCAGCTGGGAGACTGGCTGTCACATTTTACCCCAGGGTACTCTTGAGAAGTAAAGGATAAGAGATTAGATAGAAGGATAGAGGGAAGAAAAACAGATAGAAACACAGGACAGCCTTGGGAGTGCCTGGATCCTTTATCCATCAGGCCCTCCTGTCTCTTCTAAAGGGATATTTATAGGAATGCCAAGGGGTGGAGAAAAGACCTCCCTCTAGCTCAGCCAAGTGCAGACCCTTCCAATCACCTAATAACCATGCACATGGTCAAGCAATTCTCTAATGCAGACATGCTGGGTAAAGCAAGCTCAGATCTCCCTAGAGAACCTTTGTGGCCCTCCACAACTCTCCCTTTTTGATATAAAAAAGGATGCCCTAGGCCTCTCAGATAGACTGTGCCTGTCTTAGGTCATCCTGTTTGATTAATTTTACATACATACATTTGGAAAGTTATCAAGAAGAAAGTTGCCCATCTTTGGCTACCAGCCTCTGGCAAGAAGGGGTTCAGAGGTCTGACCCAGGTCCCTACTATAAGCTTGCAAGCATCTACAATGATCTCCGTAGCTGCCACACCTCTCAGTAAAGAATAATAAAGATGGAATATCATTTTTAGAATGGGTCTAAGGTGACTACAGCAGTCTTAGTTGCACTAAGCCCTTTTCAAAACTTTCTCCTAACAGATATTCAATAACATTTTCAAGAGACGATTTTGATTCCCCAGGGAAAACAGTCATTTCAAAACATTTGAAAGTATCCACTCAAGTCAACAACAACAACAACAAAACCCGAAACATTCTAATTATAAAGACACTTTTACAAATTAACTTCATTGTGGGAGGCATATCCCTTTGTGGAAGACCTACCCCTTTCTAAATAAAGACAGAAGTCAAAACTTCTAGGAAGAAATCAGAAAAGGTCACCTAATTATGACACTTTTATTTAGGTTTTCCAGGGGCCACTGGGATCATAAAATTATGTTTTAAGCTATCATAAAAAGCATTCAAATATATCTGAATGTAAAAGAGTAACAAAAACTTCAAGGCCCTTTAATGTGATTGATTTGGTTTATCAATTTAAAATTTAATGTTGTCTAATTTGTCCAGATTAGAAAGGTATTGATGGAGTAATAAAAACAATTCTGGTATGAACTTGCATTTAACATTTAAACTTTTTACAAACTTACATTCAAAAGAAAACTCCATAGGACTATTTTACAAATTTTAGCACCTCTAGAAGAGATTTTAGAACTATTTACCAAACTTTAATTACAAAAGAAACTGTATCAGCCAATATCTAGAAATAATCTCTCTTTTTTTTGAGATAAGGTTTCTCTGTGCAGTTTTGGTGCTGGTCCTTGATCTCTCTCTGTAGGCCAGGTTGGCCTTAGACTCACAGAGAGGTGCCTGGTTCTGCCTCCCAAGTGCTGGAATTAATGGCGTGAGCCACTGCCACCACCACCCAACATAGAAATAATAATCTCTTAATAGAACTAACTTATTTTTTTTCAAAAAGACAGAAAGTATGTAAATCATGAGTTACCA